ATGTCTCAAGATATTTAAAAACCGTTTGATACTACCGGGGTCGCATGAAATGAGACAAACCTTTCTAAGGAGTTCGAAGCATCTGCCGTCCTGTTCTTATTTAAAAACAGCTTTTTAAATGCTGAAACAATGTTGCTCTGATACGATGGTGGGAACATCTTTCATATATCATTGTGCTAAGTACGTTTCTTTTCAATATTCTTCGACGTCTAGGCGTTGTCATCTGCAGTGCTAAAAAGCTGTTCTTGTGTACAGTATCCTCAATAACGGTTAATTTTAAAAATTGAAAAAAAACATCTGGCTCTAAGCCTAGAATAAATCATGTCTCACTTGGTAACATCTGGCAGCCACTGCACAGTTAGACTTGGCCATTCCAGAGCATGTGTCATGATCTAGAAATGTGCAGACTAACATAAGGTAGCAGATTAAGGCTGATATACCAAATCATATAAAAATGGAGCATTTTTCTTCCAGATTTTGTATTCCTCGTTCAGAACCTTCTCCTCGGCGTCCTCGCTGATTGTCGTCATCCTGAACGTGCAATTCACTATAAAACCGAAAAATAAAGAAAATACTCGTACTAATCAATTTCGCAACGCGAGGAAGAAGATCAAGAGGAGTTCCTTACAGGCATATATACTGCGATACGAAATAGCGCACTACTGCTCTACTGATACAAAACTGCTGTCGCTTACCGCGCCAGTTTCAAAAAAATGACTGAAACTCAGATATCAGCAGTTAATCTCCTTTCGCTATCAGTACTACTATGATATATAATGAGGCTAAGAATAATAAAATGATGCACTTTAAAATCAGTTTACAGCAACTTCGCATCTGTATCAATAATTTTTTTAATAAACAAACGGCTTCTTTCCATCACATTCGAAAAACGGAAGACTGTCTATATCGTTCACAATATTTTGGTGCATAATTTATGTACTGAACAACGTACTATCAGTTTCAATTCATTATTACTTATATGGGCTTTGGATTAAAGCAATAACTTTAAAAATAAGGAAAAACGTACGCAATTATGAAAAATTTCAAACATTCATCACTGACGGTTGGATCACGGAGGAACAGAGAGCGGGTATTAAAACAGTACCACTAGATTTATACTTCAAGTTTTTTAGGATGACTATACTAAGCTGTGCTAAAGCGAAAAACAGCATGTTTTAAATTTTGGTCAAACGTTCAAAGTTTCCCACAAAGATTCAGAAGTACCTTCTCAACGGTGAATAGCGCGATTTAACTTGAACTAGTCTGCCTTCTATTCCTAACAAAACTAGTCAGCGCAGAACCACACTGTTGTAACAAGGTTACGCTATGAGAAAAGGCAGCTACATCCTTTAATGTCCTCAAGTATCAAAATTGGCAGTAACGTCATATTTAACGCACCTTAAAGAAGTTGGATCTGTGCAGTCTGCAAAATGCAGTGACTGGTATTAAGCAACAGATCATGAACAATGGTTTCAAATTACAGTCAAGAAAGAGCCAAACTAACCTGCAGGATGAAGAATATCAGATCACCTAATCTAATTTCCCTAATCGAACATCGTATCAATTAGGAGTCAATTCCGGCTTGCGACACCAGGAAGTATTTTCAGATTATACTAAACAATAAACTGGACTGGTCTGAAAACATGATCGCAATGTTCTAAAGGTCTTAGTCATATCTGAAGCTAACCAGATTTCTTGTATCACCGACAAACGAGACAGGATGCATCTTCGTTTTCGGCTGCATCATAATACTAATCGCTTATTCTACTTCAATGATATTTTCAGGCTTCATGAATAAAGACTTCAGGTTACTGCGTCGATCTGTAATGTTAATAGCTAGGATTGGCAGAATTTCTATTGAAGAAATTGCTGGCTGCATTGCGAGAATAACAAGTGCAGCAGTCTGTTGCATGGATCATAGTATGCTGGCTGCGGACAGTTAACCTTTGCACCAGAAGTTTCAACGCGCTGTGTCCCTGCGTCAAAGCGCCTGTTGCCGGTTTATCACATTTCCAGCCCCGACAGAACTCTATAGAGATACATTCCACCTTTCATCGCAAGGATTCTGAGACAGCCAAAGCTGCGAGAGCAATTTTTTGTACATAACACTCTGATCTGACATTAGCCCTTCGTGTATATATATTTCATGGCTCTGCACGAGTAGAGACTAATGTAGCGCAAGCAGGCGCTCATGCTGAGAGTACCATCTTCTGCACAAGCTAATAAACGTGAGTGGCGAACATGGCCCTTGTCGGATGCTAGCAAACCTTCGCACTCCATCAACTCGAACAGCGCATTGACGAGAAACGCTGAACGCTGTGTATTCACGCTTATTTCGGGGAAAACTTTCAAACAGTGACAAGTTTCACAAGCAAAACAAGACCGAAAACAAAGTGGTACGTTAGTAAAATCTGCAGCGAATTCGGCAATCGTAAATCAGGCACGAGAATCAAGTAAACATACATCCCAGACAGGATGAGAATCAAGCATGCCGCGGTCGGCACAATCATGATCAAGCTTGTCTATGTCGAAAAATTTCGCAACGATATTTACGAGTCACACTCTATTCTTGTCTTTTCGCCAGCAGCAAAAGCGTTCAAATATGAAACGATCACAATAAGGCAGCAGTGGCACGTTTTCACACATACGTATGCAAGAGCACCACACGAAACATAGCTACCGTTTTGACTACGAGAAGAAGACGTGTAAATCCTAAAGGTACCTCAGTTTGAAAAGATGAAATAGCTGAACTCAAACTTCAGTTTAAAAATCTTTCACCGAAATAACACAATATCGCTGGCACTGTGAATTCGCACTTCCACACGCTTCGTTTAAAACCCGCCTAGTACGGTAGTTTCGAAAGTTCTCGGAACAATGAAAATTCTGCTGATCATTATGAAAATGACATGTTATTTATTATGGATGTGTACTATTGCTCTGCGAAGAACTGAGTTCTACGAGTTGAAATATCTTGTGATGTTTCTTGAGGGGGACTGTGATGCTGTGGTTAATAGTCTACTGCACAATTTAGTAGCGCTGTGCTACAACTTCGAGCGTAGCGTAAATGTTTTTATATTCACTGTTAAATCCACTGAGCAAGAATCTTACCGTGTTCTGTTTCGCTGAAATACGTGTAGCGGGTAATTGACATGGGACTAATAAAACCAACATGGCATTTTAAAGTTTTCACATCAAAGCTTGTGAGATATATGGCTACGGCCTTAATGTCTTCCAACTGCAATTCGTTTAGACCCAACCCAATGCCATGCTAAAAATCAACACAAGCAGTAAACGTTAATTTCTAAAATCTTTTCTGTTCCACACCTTCCAGTGTAATCGTGCGTTTCAAGATTAAAAGAGCTAACAATATTCAAAGGCGGAAGAATACAACAAATCGTCTTCAGATGCACAGCAAGCGATTCAGGAAAACCAATAACATGTCCTTGCTCGCTGTCTGAAAATCGTCGCTTTTCAGAACGCTTTAGACTTTGTCTATATCGAATCTATCTGGTTTGAGAAGCAAAATAATAGGATAATGAAATATAAAGATAAATCTGATCGTCATGAACTCTAGGAATGCAACTACTGGAATAAAACTTTAAAAATACCGCAGACCATGAAAACTCGGAAAGGATGCTGGACAAGTTGACAGAGTATCAGTCAGATTATAAGTGGTAGCCCATAAGAAGTTTGCAAAACATTCCATTAAGAAATTCAAGGGCTGAAGATAAACGGACACTATTTAAGTAACATTCAGATTATCAATATTTTGATCCCGCTAGGTCTCTGACAGAACTCCAGAAAAAAATCTAAACGCTAAATAACGCTAGCATTGAAACACGAATGAAAATTAACGTGAAGAGGACTCATGTTATGCTTATTAAATATGCTACCAAATGATCCGTTGAATCCACTGGGTTTAGTTAGAAGAGGAACAAAACCGTAAACTCTGAGACAGTTCATTTCTGTAACGAAGGACAAGCTCTACCAAACCAACGGTAGAGTAAAAATAACTTGGAATAATTTTGGAAGATTGAAATTTTTCTTTCGGCAACTTCTTCCGCACTCGAAACGGAAGGTTTCCTGTTAATGCACATTCCCGCGCTATCACATTTATATGAAACATGGACCCTGAGCACCAAAGCTGGTCACAAAAATCAGACTGCACAATACAACATAGAAGTAACATTGTTGGAATAAAGACATCGAATTGAGTCAAAAAGGCTGTAGAAAGTCATACAGAAGATCGCTGGATAGATGAAAGGATGAGCTGAAGAAATTGATTGGAACAACATATACATGAACAGTAGAAGACAGAATTTTATGGCGAAGAGGCCGTTTTCTAGCAGTGGATCAACAAGGGTAAATGGTGATCGTGAGGTAGCGGATAAACAACTCTAAAAGTAAAGAATGCAAATAAAATTATATACACAGTAATGTACATAATTGCTGCCACTGATTCATTGTGCAACTTTCAGGTACCTGGATAACGAACAGCGTCTATCAAAATTTATATCTGAGCGAATGGGCCGGCGTCATCAGCTCAAATTGAAATCTGAACTGCAATATAAATGTTTTAAAATATGCGGTTTGTTAAATAATCTAGAGCAGCAGTGATGCGCTGAGAGATCATTGTGAAAACAATTGATTATACTATTCCATCTCGTCCGACTGCAGTACTCATTTTTGGCAGGACAATGAGTGCTGGGCTACAAAGTTTAATGGTGGGGTTGTGAGAGTGATACTAATCTACAAGTTAATGAATGCTGAACGATATTTTCTAATTACTAATTTTAAAATACCCGAGAAATTCATAGCAGAAATATGACTTTTCACACCGGTTTTCAAAGCGAAAATAGCGCATATTTAAAATTATGCTTCGTTAATTCAAAGAAATATGCATTTTTTGTTCTATTCTAAAATAGTTTATAACGAACTGATGAGTGTGCGACTGCCGTTCAATCGGGAGCAATTTTCAGAAAAATTTTGCATCGCATGCCAATAGATCACCTGCAGTACCAACAGACTTAATGTGATTACCTTAGAAGGATAGCCTTATCTTTCTGTCGATATCGTGTTTTTGGCCTATGAGTATAAAAAATGCAGTTCTGATAGGTTCAAACTGACTGATGGTTCTGCTGAGCTGTTCGAGTGAAAGTTTACTTCAAAGTAAAAGAATATTAAACGAAATCGAGTAGATCAAGGTAAGAAGTTTCTCGACTTAAAACAATTCACCTCCTTCAGATGGTCCTGATAGGGATTGGACTTCATCAACCAATTTACCACAAGCAGTTTCATTCAAAAGTTTGGTGAAACCACAGTGTGATACTGTAATCGGAGAGACCATTATATCGCGTTAAGTATCGGGTACAAATCTGACTGACCACTTTTCTGTGCTGTTTATAAATAAGCCGTTTTAATTATGTTCCTTAATAGAACGACCACCGTCTTAACCAAATACTTCATCTGTTTTGCGTTATTTATTACAATCTGATTCTGTGCTGTTTATCCGACTTAGATAAAAGCAGATATTGTCTGTTTTAAACCGCACCAGTACCATCACTTTACCAGAGGGGGATCAATTACATCCTGTAGAGAAGCTTCCGTAAGTTTGATTGGCCGAAAGTATAACAATAAAAACGGCAAAATATAAATAATTGGGTTTG